AATGTTCAGATTCCTTCAGAGTCTGGCCAATATGACGGATCTTTAATAAACTTTGTCTCTGGCTGGAAAAAAAAGAAAAAAAGAAAATGCCTTCACTTCACTAGTCCTGTAGATAAAAAGGTAGTCTTATACTGGTTCGCTGGTTACACTGGTTCCTTGACTAAAACTTGCCATCTTTATTGACTAAACCTCTATATAAGTTTCAACACTGAAGGGCTGAGAGTCTTTGACAGTATCCACCCTCTTCTCATTCCACCCCTAAGAGATTGCACACTGAGACTATTCCTACTGGTATCCGTTTTTCCTTCTCTCCTTGTGATCAGCAGGATTAGGTTCAAACAATGCAATAATGTTTTCTCCCAGTACCCACCACTGAATCAAAATTTTTCACAAGACAGAAGTTGGACTATACCCATAATTGAATAGAAATCGAACTGGGCCAGCTCTAGAATTGAGTCATAAGATGGAGTTGGTGTGGTTCACTCAATTACCACAATAATCAGAACTAGAAAAAAAATGATAACAAAATTCATCTGGAAGAACAGAAGGTCAAGAATAACAAGGGAATCAATGAATAAAAATGTGAAGGAAGGTGGCTTAGCAATCCCAGATTTCAGACTGTACTACAAAAGCCATAATCATTAAAACAATCTGGTACAGGCTAATAAATTAGTGACCTTCTTCACTGGCCACATAGAGCTGTTGAATTGAGAGAGAATCTGAAGCTGAAGAAAATCCTCTTGCCCTAGAATATGGGCATTTGGCCTTTGAATGTTGTTTGTCCTTCATTCTTGAAAGGGACCATGACATCAGGAAGCTGATGCCGTGACTTGCAAGTGAACTGGATTTAAGTGAGAGAGGACTGTGCAAAGTGACCAGCCTTTCTTTCTCCTTGGGAGCCATCTAGGTCGAGTGGCATAACCATGGAATATGGCCTGTGACCAAACCCCGTCTCTCTTCCTGTTTGTGTTATTCAAGGCAGGGGTGAGGTCAGAATAGACAGAAGCTATCTCAAGTGTGTCTTCTCCTTCCTCAGAAGGATGTAGGACAACGGGGTTGGGGGGTGGAGGTTTGTTTGAGTATAAACCCTCCAAGTCAGCTCCTCCTCTTCCTCTTGCCTGTAGGTGCTTCAGGTTCCCCTGCGATCCATTCTAAAGGTGACCTGCCTCCCCAACCCTAGGTCCCTCTCATTCTGAGCTTCCAGTTTAACCCAGTCCTACCTCATGCCTAATCAGCTGGATCACTTTCCTCAGAATCTCCTTGTATTAAGACGGCCCAGGAGCACCCCTGCATCACTGTATTTCTGTTATGAGGTGTTAAGGAACAGATCTACTTATTAGGTCCTAACTCCAAGCAAGCAACTTGGTGGAAGAGGGGAGTTTCTAGTGTTTAGGTCATACATGTATTCTGTGAGTTGAGGGATGGAGCCTGGGGTTGTACTAGTCAAATCAGTTTTCACGAGCTCACAATTTTTCTTATTGTTGTAACTAAACAATGATAACCAACCTCTTTGATTTACTACAATCTTTTTGGAAAAGTCTGTGGTATTTCTCTATTACAGATAATGTTGGCTCTTTAAACAGATATTTACCATATTAAGGAAACATCCATTTTCCTTTGCTTTCTTATTTTTGACATAAATGGTTATTGTATTTGGTCAAAAGCTTTCTTCTTCATCTGTTGAAATATTTGTGTTATTTTTTGTTATGTTTTATTATGTTTATAGTTTTTCTAATATTGAACCAACCCTGCATTCCATGCTTGTAGTACATAGATCTCTGGCAATTCTAGTTCAAGAAAACAATGTGGGTTCCTCTCCCAGTAAGTGAAGGCTCTAGAGACTGGGTTTGGAGGGGCTGAGGCTGACAAGCAAGCTGGTGATGTGGAATGGAGCATCCTGAGAGGTTAAGGTAGTGAGAGCTCCTTTCATTGCTGCTTTCTCAAGTATAAATATTTGTACATCTTGATGGAGGTGGAGAGAAGAGAATTTGAGCATTTGCTCCAGGATTTTTATCAGCTTTTATAGTACCTGGGTACACAGGAATAAGGACTAAACCTGGGATTTCATTGATGTAGTGAGGCAACCTGCTTTACCTTCTCCATACCTTAAGTCTTGAGTTACCTACAACACTGACTGAAACTTGTCCAGGGTAATAGTCATTCCTCACACCTGAACCCAGGTCTTCCCAGGCTTTGAGGCTAATCATGCTGTCATGCTGCTTTTGTATAGATTAAGCTTGCTTTATAAAAAAGGAAATATCCTAGTTAAACATTGTGGTTAACAGGGTCTTGCACAATAACGTGCATTATCATTTAAGAGTTATGACAATGAAACATAGCATTACTATGATGATTCATAAGGTAGGGTCATTGTTTTGCCTATCACTGTGTTGTAGATGTGTGAACTATTAACGATTAAACATTTTTGGAAGTAAGAGAATGCTGGCTGAAGCAACCTATTATGCATAACAGACTGCTTTGGTACAGCTGTGGAAACCTTTATACAAGCCTCCAACAAGTGATTTGATACTTCCTACAACAAGCCTAATGCTTAAGAATAGAGCATTATGCTAGGTATATTAAGACAACTCTATAAGCAGTCCCTCTGAGGTTTTTTTGTGTGTGTGTGAGGCAATTGGGGTTAAGTGACTTGCCCAGAGTCACACAGCTATTGTTAAGTGTTTGAGGCAGGATTTGAACTCAGATCCTTCTGACTCCAGAGCTGGTGCTCTATTCACTCTGCCACCTAGCTGTCCCAAGGAGGTTATATTTCAATGGAGCAGTAGGGGGAATAGTAAAACTGTGTACTCTCTATAGATGCTATGAGGTACAATTTAGTGTGCACACTGGAGCACGTATCAGGATTTTCATTTAGTGCCTGGGTGAAAGATATTTGCTCTCATTTCTTTCTTAGGCAAAAATGAAAAGCTGTGTCCTTTAACGAGCAAGATTGTTTGGATGATCTACATTTAAACCCCACTTCTAACACACTGGCTGCATGACCCTAGGCAAGTTCTTTAAATTCTCAGTGCCCTGTGAAACTAAGACTGTAAAATGCTGAGCAAGTGCTGATCTGATTTCACTGGAAAGTTGCATGCCAAGTGCCCCTAAAAAAACATCTAATGGATTGGAAGACATTGTGGACTCTGGTTTAACTGTGGCAAAAAACTACGTGCCAGTATCCAGTAAGTGAAGAAAAGTGGATGGCAGTATTGTTAAAATTCATTATACATACGCCTTGCTTCCCCTTCTCCCTAATAGCTAAAATTTCTAATAGTGAAACATTTAGCAGTAAAAATGCTGATTCAGGATAAGCAGATTAGTAAAGTTTGGACAATGGCATCTTACATAACTTCATGTTCTTTAGTACAGAAATTCAGATTGCTCTGTAGCTCTTTTAAGCCCTGGCACATCCCATTCCAACATATGTGGCGATCCCAATTGATTTGGTTTCACAGTGAATGCCATTCAGTTGCCACGGGTTGCTAATTTGGCCTAGGCCGAAGGCTAAGTGGTATTTCAGAACTGCCCTAAGAAGTTGCACAACCTGAAAACTGTTTAGAGTGGTCCAAGGAATGCTTTTAAATAGGAAAGGTTCTACATTTAGTATCAAATGTTATTCCCTGATAATTTAGACCAAAGGAGTATTTTCTCTTACTAAGATAACTGAGACCATAGAATTGAACCAATTTATTTTTATTTTTTTGTTTTTTAGGCAATTGGGGTTAAGTGACTTGCCCAGGGTCACACAGCTAGTTAAGTGTCAAGTATTTGGTCTCAGGCCTCATTTGAAGTCAGGTCCTCCTGACTTCAGGGCCAGTGCTCTATCCACTGTGCCACTTAGCTGCCCCAGAACCAATTTTTTACTAAGCCAATTTTAACTACAAAAATAGCCAAAATACATCAGCAGAAAAGCATTAAAACCTTACAACGGGCCACTTTAAGGAAAAAAAAATCAAAGTAATCAGGATGATGAAAAATTACATTTCTTATTGCTTAAGAAAAATATTCCAAAGGAAGGAAAAAATGTCAAATCAGAAATGAAGCAGAAGAAAGTATTTCATGAGTTTTCCTACTTAGATTCATTTTATCAAAAGAATGCCATTTAGAAGACTTTCCTTTTTAAAAAAGGCTTTAAAGCAAAATGCTTAAGTTCTGCAATGTGCAAATTCCTTATTTAAAAAAACTTTTATTTTCAACAACTTTTCTCCATTTGGTTTTACATTCTTTTAAACATACATCATATAATATTCACGGACAAGCAACATTTTACAGAAATAACTGGATTTTAACCTAAAGCAAAAAAAGCCAGCTGGGATAAATTCCAATCAAAAAGAAAAATTTCATGGACCCAAGTAAAGTTATCACTTTACTTCCTGTAGGCTGATTCCATGAGTTTACTTAAAGTTTATTAGCTGTTATTCACCAGTTGAGATCATAGTATACTCAAACAGAAGTAGCAACACAGTGTGATGTCATCTTTGGAACAAAACTTTCCTCTTCTTCCTTATTCCAGTCCTGTATTAGGGGCACAGAGGGGGAGGGTATGAAGTGAGTAGGTTTCCTCAAGTTTTACTGTCTGAATCTTCAGTAATTTCAGGTGAAAATGCTTAAAGAAACTTTAAGATTTTAATTATAAGCTAGGTTCACAGGAAAAATCAAGAAATACAAAGTAAAACTTCCCCTACCTTTCTTGTCTAAATGGCGATTACAAGTTTTCACTGAAATCTATGATGCACCAAATGATTGATTTCATGTTTATTTTGGAGGGAAGATACAATGATCAAAACTAAGTTAACTGGTTCACTAACTTCAAATTAATTTTCATAAGTCCCCCTATGACTAGTATGGTGATTCCTGTAGAAAAAGATCTAATACCAAATTTCTACACATCATATCTGGGTTATAATCAATGGAATTAATTTCACAGATTAGTGAAAATTTTTATCAAGTTTATTTCATAAGCATTACCTTCATGAAAAATATAGGCCGAGAATATGTTCTTTTTAAAGATTTATTGAATTTCTAGCTTTTGAAAAGCAGGGTGCTGCTCTCTCCAACAAAGCAATGTGCATTTTTTTGAAAATTAAATTGAACAGGGGGGGACTGCGTATACAGTGAAAAAGCTGATTGTTAAATACACATACAATAATAAAGGTTTGCCTACACTCTATAGAACAATCATGATAAAGTAGGCTTGGATAACACCTCTGTTGGAACTCTAATGCTTCTCTAGTCAATCACTTAGATATGTGTATTGAGTTTGCCTTTGACAATTGTCCATTTCAGCTAAAAAGCTTTTTAATTCTTAACTTTAATCTTAGTTCTGCTATGCACTGAAAAGGAGGGAAAAACAAAAACATTTTCAGCTGCCAGCATTTAAATAGTATATTAAATGATGGAAGTTAATTAACAATTATAGAAATTTAAATGCACAACCACCAATCATTGTATCACTTTACAAAGCAGAGAAATTAAATATGAATAAATCTGATCTTTAGGTAGGTGATTTTGAGAAACCTTTAAGGATATATTAGTTTGATTTAAAAGATTTAACTTGCCTTGTGGAATATCAATTGTGGCAGAATGGCCCTAATGGACTGTTATGAGACACTATCAATATTGGCATAATCTTAATACTGATCTTCTAGGCACTACTCTAATTTTGGGGCATTATGCATGAAATCCATTTAAAAAACCTTTAATTATATACAGACACCACTATCAATTTCCATTAAAGATACACTAAGACAATATTTTATACTAAAAAATTGGCTTTACTGTAAATATGCTAGTTTACAGTGCAGAGATTTCTGGTCACAAATCAAGTTTCTAGCTAAGTGTTTCTACAGAGTAAATAAAAAAGATGTTTCCAGGTCTGTTTAAATTAACCTGACACTCGCAGAGCAGGAAAGAAAATATTATAAAAGTTAATTTTTATGCATCAAGCTTTTTTAGTTACTTTTCAGTTTATGGTTTCTTCAAATAAATTTTCTATTTATATAAAGTTCACAAATCAGGTTTTAGCTATCCCCAAACATTTAAAGGGCAGGGAATCTGTATTACCTTCACCTCAAGCACTGCCAGGTCATGCATTTGACGAGGTAAAGAAATGAAAATTAATAAGACTTCCCACAAGAAACAGTTACGCCAAGAATACTGTATCACTACAAATTTTATTCAGAAGCCCATCTTTTTTTTTGTTTTGTTGTTTTTTAGAAAAAAATTCTCATTATGAACTTTGTTTGGTCAATCAACTACAAGACTTTCTAGCAGACATACAGTAAAAATGGCATGGCTCAGAATCGACCAGATCTTTCACGATCTCTTGACCGCCTCCTATCGCGTTCCCTTCCTCCACCACCTCCGCCACCGCCACCACCACCGCCACCACCGCCGCCACCACCGCCACCACGGCCACGATCTCTTGATCGAGAACGACGTTCACGAGATCTTGATCGGGACCTATGCCTGTGAATAGAAAAAAGGTAAAATGAAGTGGTTCACTAAATCAAATTATGATTTAAAAGACAGTATACAAATACAAAATTATTACATGATAGTTCCAAATTTTCCTTCATTTTTCTGAACAACTAATTTAAAGAACTGAGAATAAAGTAAGATGAAGGGATATAATTTCCAGGAAAGTATTACATAAATTAGTTTATTATTTCACATGAAGTTTGGTTAGTCAGGCCCTTATGTTTTTCCATTCCCAAAATAGCAAAGCAGACAAATAATGACAAATCACAATAAGGAAACCAATTGAGTTATTCAAGATTCATTTTGAGTTGAGCTATTATAGAAGTATTCATTGTTTTCTAAGCTGAATGATGGCAACCAACAATGCAGTTGCTATGAATAATAATAAGCCTAACTTATTAGATACAAGTCAGCTTCAAACAGCAGCAAAATTTAATACCTTTGGCTACGTTGTCAATATTAGTATTAGGGTAAGAGATGTTTGAGGGGCAGCTAGGTGGCTAGAACCCTGGCCCTGCAGTCAGGAGGACCTGAGTTCAAATCTGGCCTCAAACACTTGACACTAGCTGTGTGACCCTGAGCAAGTCACTTAATCCTGCCTGCCTCCAAAAAACAAAAACAAAAAAACCCCCCAGATCTAGAACAAATGTACATACACAGCAGCCTAATCATACTTAAACCCAAGAACAAACATTTGGGGAAGGGGCTCCCCATATTAAAAAAAAAAAAGTTGGGAAAACTGGAAAGCAGTTTGACAAAAAAGAGGTTTAGTTTAGTTCAGCATCCTATGGCACAATAAATTCCAAATGGATAAGTGACCTAAATATAAAGGCACACGTGTGTGTGTGTGTGTGTGTGTGTGTGTGTCAGTGTAAGTGTGAGAGAGAGAGAAGAGGGGAAAAACAATAGTAGAATCTTTCACATTTACGAAGGGGAAAAAATTTAACCTGGAGAGATTATTTAAGAGACAAAAGACACACTTTTATGTAATTACATAAAATAAAAAAAGTTTTGCACAAATATTATCAATATAGCTAGAAATACATGAAAAATATTATTTTCATTATTTGCTAAAATTTTGACATTTAAAGTATGCTGTGAACTGACACAGAAGTGTCATGTCCCAACAAACAAATAGTAAAAAATGTGATACTTTCAAAAGAAAAAACATCAAAAACTACTTGAAAAGCTTAAAATAATGGGAGAAATGCAAATGAAAACTCTGAGGTTACTACATAACTATACTCAAGCTAGCAAAGATGATGAAATATAGGAAAATTGGATTAACAAAGATGACAAAAAAATAAAAATGACACGCTGGAGGAGCTGCAGAAAAACAGGCACATTAACGGTCTGCTAGTGGATTTATGAACTGGTTCAGCCATTATGGAAAGCAAACTGGAACTCCGGAAATGACTAATGCGGGAATTTGTTTTTCTTTACTTTCACTGGGGGAAGGGGGGGGATGGGGACAGACTTTAACTGAAAACAACAAAATTTAGATCACACATACACACACACACACACACACACACACACACACACACACACACACACACACACACACACACACACACACACACACACACACCCCCACCCCTTGGCTAGGGCAATGGGGTTAAGTGATTTGCCCAGGGTTACACAGCTAATAAGTGTCAAGTGTTTGAGGCCACATTTGAACTCGGTCCTCCTGACTCCGGAGCAGGTGCTCTTATCCACTGCGCCACCTACATGCCCCAATAATATGTATTTTTAAAAGATAGAAAAACTTCAGTTTATTGCTAGAGAGGCAATACTAGAAAGACCTACTTACTAATTAGCTATTGGTGGAACTGGGAATGGTTTGACTATCCTGGAAAATAATTTGGACTATTATGTTGTTACAGTCTACGTCTCAGAAAAGGCTAGATACAAAAATATGCTTTCACCAGTTGCCAAAAGACTAAGTAAGTTATGGTTTACAAAAAGGAAAACAGTTATCCCTTCCCCATCATAACTTTCCCCATAGTAGTTTGGCATTAGAAATTAAATGAGATTTTTTGAGAGGTTTGTGGAAGCCACAGATAACAAAGAAAAAGTTTAGAATACATAAAATATATGTATAATATTCTCTTTCTACTATTGCTTTTCAACCAATACATCTTCCTCTTCCCTCTCCTGGTTCTTGGGTTTCTTACATAAAAATATCTTCCTAATATATAATGCTTGGCCCTTTTCCCCTTCCTTTTAATAAAATATACCTGTCTACAGTCACGTTCCAATTGTGGGGCCCTTTCTATCAAATTGCAATGACCTAAAAATGTTCACTGCTTTTCTATTAATTTTCATTTTCCTATGTTGGGGCCATTTCTCAAAGGGTATAAAGTAAGGGCTAAATGTTAGTTTTACAGTAGACAGGATGTGAAATCCAACCAGCTTAATTTACTTTAGCTGGTTAACTAAATTCAGGGTCTGGAGCAACAGAATACCAAGACCTAGATGGCTACAGCATAATGAGTTATTAATTTATTATCAGATTCAGTTCTCTAATCTATTTCTTCCAAGTTCTATTAAAAAAAAAAAGTACAGATGGCCAAATTCCAGAGAGAAACTTATTTAGAAAAAATATTGGCAACAATGCATGATATTTTCCCTTAACTATATTTATTTTTTACATTACTGAATAAAAGACTTACTTCTTACGACGACGCCCGTATAACTCCCGTCGTAGTTCTCTAGAGATGGGTTTCAGATGCATAAAGTTACAGAAGCCTCCTCGAGTACATTCTCTGTGGAGTATAATTAGATAAAAATTGTCATGTAATCACTTCATTTTTATCATTTACATTATAATGTTCATCACGCTTATTAAATTGGTATGTTGAAAGTTGTCTGGCAAATAAGACAACTTTGTTCCAAATGGACACACTCCCAAATCTCATCATTACCCCATTTCATATTGGCGACAGCAAGCTTCTCTGAAGTCAGTCACAGGTGAAAGCTCTGCATGAATTGGCTGTCCATTAAACCAGCGATTGTTTAAGTCAATGACAGCCTTTTCTGCATCTTCTTCACGGCGAAACTAAGAAATGAATAAAACAAAAATGTTTTCACATCTCACTGTAGTTAGAGGTATTTGCAACAAGCAGGTGGCTACTAAGGCTAATAAGATGGACTAGGACAGATAATCTATTTCTAGTTATTTCTATTTCTAGCCCTTAAATAGGGCTATCCAGCCTCAATACCAATTTTTAAGTTATAGAATTCTACTATGTATTGGCACTCACTTGGTTACAAAAGATTTAAAAATACTTTCTAGACAATAAATATTTTGTAAATAAATAAATACAGTCACAAGCATCAAAGTAGGCAGTAAAAACAAACAAAAAACAAACCAGTAATCAATCTCACAATAACAAAATGGCTCTCAAGAGAAAGCAATTCCAGCTCTGAATTTACTAACAAGCTGTGTACACTCATTTGCCAGTCCTCAAATTACATTTATAACTTTACTTACCTTTACATATACATTTCCTACAAGATGATCCCCAAGGTTATCACAAACATTCATCTCCTCAACTTCACCATACTTTTCTTCCATTTCCGTAAAAACCTCCTAGGTAGAGAGAAAGATCTGAGGTTAGAGCATCTTCATATACCAACCATATTAGAATATAACAAAGAATAAGTTATTTCCAGTAAATGACACAAAGTTGTTACTAAGTGAAAATATAAAAGATAGCTTTTCTTAGGCAATAATGTTAGCATGCCCTCCCCACTTCCCCCAACACAAAGGTGCTTATTATAGTTCAACTGTAATATATAAGGTAAAAAGGGAGAGAATATTCTTTTGAAATCTGACAGCCATTACAATCATCATTGTCTAATCACTTAAAATGTTCTCTACTTTAACAAGGCACTGCATCAAAAATGTTAAAGAGTTTAACTTCAAACAGCGAATTTTATATCAACTCACCTCAAAAAATTCATCATAGTGTTCCTGCATTTCAACATCACTCACTGCACCTGAAAAGGAGAGAAATCTTTTTGGTTAGAATATTGAAATGAGAGACCTCTTGAATTTAAATTCAAAAGCTAAACAACAGTAAAGTATCTAGAGAAAGAACACAAGGTAATGTAGTTGTTGAAGATATAGCATAATAAAACTAAGAGTTCTTTTTAAACAGGTGAGATTTTTAAATCTCCCATGACATTCTTAATAGTTTAAGTTAAATCAAGTTTTAATCAGCATCAGTGCCACAATTTCAGAATTGTTAAGGAAATATTTAATATCAAATTGGAAAATTTTATGTTAGATTTCCTTTTTTCTCCTAACGAGCTGGAGTGGAAGCCAAGCAACCTTGTAGATTTATTAAAATTTATGATTAAGATTGAAGGGAAAGTATTAAGTTTATTTTCCTAGTTAAAGGAAATCTTTAAGTTTACAGCATAGAAAAATGCTATAAAATCCTTCGTGATGTGATTAAAACCGAAGTACACCGTGACAAAAATAATTTGTAATAAATTATGTACATTTATGGCATCTGTATGCCACCCAAATAAATGGAAATTACAATGCTTTGTTATAGAAAGCATTCTTAGTGTATATTCCAAAAGAATTTTCTTTAAGTATGTTTCTCTATGTAACTTATACACATGGAATGAAGTTATATCTATCATTTAGGTAGATTCATGCTACCTAAACAAACTGAAATTCTTCATTTCCACTCCCCCTCATCAAATTTTAACAATTCATATGCTGCCAAAAAGGATCTACTCAAGAGAAATTAAGACATTAGAGTTTGCTAAATTAAAGTGGCTAGATGGGAGAGAGTACAGAAGACCAGTATTAATGCTAGGCCAGCCTGCAACCTGTTTTGTCTATAAGCCCAGCCCTTATAGTTTGGAAACATGATGGGGGCAAGGATGGGCAAGTTTGTTTTGTGGGTTACTTCAGGCCTTATTCTATGAAGGCCACAATTTCTTATCCTTACTCCAAATAAAAATGCCAGGAACACACTTTTCTTCCTGTTAGCTATTTTGCAAATGTTCCCACAGACGTAAAAAGATTTCAATGTATAAACAAAACTTCTGAGAACCATTGTAATTTATTAATTTAGCTTCACTTTTAATCTGCATGGGGGCCTTCTAGATTCCAGTTTTTAAAATTTGTAATATCTATGAATTGTTTTCAAAAACCAGAATTTACTAGGGATTCAAAAACAAATTCTACAATTTCTGACAGCTGACCATCATTTGTAAAAATGTTTACAAGTGAAGTCATAAGTGTTATTTCTCCACTAAACAGGATGCTCAAAAAATTACTTTAAAAAAGACTTTACTGTTCTTAAATTCATTTTCTTTTGGTGGTTTTATATCACTTTCCACCAGTGTGAAAGAGAATGTAAAATGTAAGCTAAGTTATTATTCAGTAGCTTTCGTAAAAAGTCAAAATTAGATAGGGAGATGTTTAAACTACTAGCTATAGATTTGGGGATCATCATTGATTTTAATTTTATCCATGTCACCATGCTATAGAGTTGTATGCAATTTTAAAAGTGTAAAATAGAAATAATCTGATAATGGGCTAACACTATGGGGCAAAATACATTTTGTCCTGATCTCATTAATATTGCTTGTCAGGATTTAATCATTAAACCATATAAAAATAAACATGAAATATTTTAACCATTCACAGAGTAACAGATTAAATAAAAATACTACTCAACCATTTATACCCTTTAATGGAAAACATAAGATTTTAACAGCAAAGCATGAAACAATTATTAATTTTTCCTCTTAAAACTTATGCTTCTTAAAATTGGATTCAATCATTCAGACTGAATTTTATGTTTCACTGAAACAGCTATTCTCTGCATAAAAGGGGTAAGTAAATAATTTTAAATTTCAATTAACTGAACTTAGGCATTTGGGAAATATCAGTGAAAGGGTCCTGTAATTAAAGTTCATCAGTTTAAACTGACTTTATACTTAAGATGCAAACCAAACAAACTCAACTTGTTTATGCGGAGAGGGCACCAGCTTTTTGATATCCATATATGATCAATTCTTATTATGCTACATGCATAAAGCAGTGGAGTACCATGAATGTCTATTGCATTAAGAGTCTACAGTCAACATTACATATCTAACTTAATTTTAATATTGTATTTCCAATGAAAAATGAATACACACAACCCCTGATTAATGAGTAAAAAGCAATTATCACAATTATTCAATAACCTACTTTTCTTGAAAGGAAAAGAAGCAAAATATTTAGTATAGCTGTATTTAAATATTTCCCCCTGAAACTGTCCTTTTTAAAAAGTTAAAAAAATCCTCAGAAAACACTCTGTAGTCATTTGAGAAATTAAGGTCTGTACCACTACATCAATATCACAATTACGATAATGCATTTAGTGCCTCAACTGGCAGGATTAAAAATGAACAGAAGATCAGACCGCAAACTTCTGGTACAGGTTGATTTTTAAAAGGGATCTGAAGTTATATCTATCGCTACTAGGGGCAATTTCTCAGTATTTAGGTTGTGGACCATTCATTGGACATCTCTGATTTAAAAGGTAGCGAGTTTTTAATTCCAATTTTCCCAACAATAATTAAATTCCAAAGGGTTTAAAAAAAAAAAAAAAAAAAAAAAAAAAGCCCAACCAACCAGATATTCAATTATGCAAGATGATAAAATATAAAATTGTTCTGAAGGTACTAGATTCTCCATTACTGGCCTATATCCTGTTTTAAAACAACTATCATTTAATAGAATAATATTCATATGATACTTGCCATTTGAAAAATCGGAATATTTACTAAAAGAAAAATTACAGCTCTTTTCCATACAAGTGCCCATCTGTTTTCAAACTATAGTAAACCAAATTCTGAATTCCACAAAGAAGACAAACTTTAAATTTACATTCAATGTCATATAATGATGATCTTCAAACTTTTTCCACCAAGGACCTACTGGCATTTGGCAAATACAGATTTGCTCCCCAACACCTCCTCTTCCCCCGTTTTTCCCTCCCTGAACTGTCTACCTAGTGTCTATATCCTGCAATAAGGAAAGCTCAGGGTCTCTGTGACCCTATGGAAAATACTTAGAGCAAGGTTTGTTAGAACTAAAATGTGACTTCTGAAATAGCTAAACTTTTTTTTATTTTTAATTAGGGACAAAATTTTGAATGCAATTTGGGGAAAACACACACACACACACAAATAACCAAATTTCACCAATCTCTTTTAAAAAGAAGCATTTTAAGTAAAATGTCAAATATCCTTGCTCTTAAAAGAGCATAACGCTTACTTTGGTATATTTTCCCCTAGGATGACGGTCAAGTAAAGGAGGAAATAGTGGGAGCAGACCAAAACTACTTTAAAAAGCATAGTTTCAGCCCCTATTGGAAGAATTGGGTTGGGGGAAGGGTTGAATAGGACAAGTCTCTTGACACATTTAATAAAATGTGGTCCTTTATTAAACTAAAATGGTAGATCAGATTAAGTTGACACTGAGCTCTGACAATCAAGCCCAGGGAACCAGTGAAGGAACTTGTATGAACTTACAGCGCAAACCGTCAGCAGACTGGGAAGAGTTTTGAGGGTTACGGTAAATGTTCAAGAGGGCAATGGTCTGAAATACAAAACGCAACAACTTTATATTATGGAAAATAAATTTTTAACACTTAACCGGTTTCCTTTGATGATCACTTTTGCCGAGAGTCTGTGCTGAAAAAGAGCAAGTTATTTTCTCCTCCAGAGAGGGGAAGTTTTCCTGAACCATCCTAACACTGCATAAGAGATCTCATAATATGCTATTATTGTGTTTGTTTTATCAAAACATTCCTCTTTCACAAATTGAACTAAATTATAAAAGTAAAGAATTTGCTATTTAAAACTTCATTTAACAAAATAACTAAAACTTAGAACAGCTAGGACAAAAGAGCTGCATCATGTAAACACAATAATTACATGACATGAAATCTCTTATTTCCTTAACTTTTCTTTTCTTTTTTAACGAAACAAGACCCACACTTGGGCAACTTACCTTACGGAATCCTAAATATTTTTTTGATTTCATACCTATAGAAAGAACTTGATAAATGCCAGGGGTCCAATCAGTGTAATGATTGGCTGAGTTAAAAAAAAGAAAAAAAAAAGGTTTCATATGTATGGACCTTGTCAAATCAAATGCCAAATCAAAAGAAAGGTCCCATCAGTGAGCTTTCAAAGGTCACATGATTTGTTTCATGAACAAATACAGTTATCAAGTTCTTGCTGTGCGCAAGGAGTTCCATCACCTTGTCCTGTTTGCAACAGCTTTATGTCAGCAGCTCAGAAGCCAACATTATTGTCTCAATTAGGAGTGGGCTCTTTAACACCATTCTTTAAAAAAATTTCTCCAACTGTGGGACTTACAGTGTGAGCCGTCAGCCGTCTGTGCACTGTTTTGGGGGTTACGATAGATGTTTTGAATCAAGATGGTCTGCGGGGAAAAAAAAATAAAAAGGGGAATTCTACTGGCTGCTGTGCATATATTAGACAATTGCAAAGAGACAACTTGTTTGCAAATGGCTAAACAATTTTTTTTTGCAAGTCAGACATTTCGTGTGTGTCTTCTGAAGAGTACACTAAAACCATCATATTATGAAAACAGAGTTTCTGCAGTGACTTATTTCAAGTCAGCTAGCAACCAAGAAGGAACTATAATTGATTAGTTTAATGAGTAGCCCCAAGTTAAAATGGCAAAATAATAAATACTCTAAGTCTAACATTTTTGTACCTCAAACTAAGACACTAAAATGTACTGAAATTTCTCTAATATAAACACATCCCCATGCAAAGTTTTAACCAGTACATAACTTGAGAGTATGCAGTAGGTTCAAGTTTTCTTCCACTGTTAGCAAAAGTTGGCATACAAAGCAAGTTTCTCAAATGTCAACTAGATACCTTATACAATCTTATATAAATATTTCTTGGTGAAGTCTCTGTTTACATAATACGATAATTTTAAATGTTTGTATGTTTTCCGCTCCTTCTTTTAAGGAAAATATCCTTTTAGCCCTTCTGCTTTACACTTGATCAGGCAGACTTGAAACCTTACATTTGTACCGTTCTTCTTAAAACCAAGTTGTCTGAAAAAACAAACCATGTTTAAGTTAGTAAGCTAATATAGTACATGAAATTTCAATGTCCATTATCACTGTAAGTAGCTCAAAAATGTACTGTATATGCTAAAAATCTCAAATTTAATGTTAAGTGGGGAAAATTTAAAAAAACAAAAACACCTCATCTTCAATCGTGATAACATTGCTATGACACGTGTATAAAGGAGATTTATATCTAGTTTATAAAACCAATTAGTTAAATTCCCACCCTAGAGAGAATTCCTAATAATGGCCATAAAACCTCTCCAAGTCAAAGCCCCAGCTCAAACGAAATACATTACATTTTAGTATTGTTGAGCATGCAGACAAAAAACACAACATTAAGCAGAACTGTAAAACTAAAAAATTAACTTTTGTGAATGATTATCAACCCTCTTCTCTGCCTTTGACTATCTAAACTTTTTCTAGTCCATACCCACTTAGATTTCACAGATCCACTACAGGCATTCTGGGATACAGTCTTCTCAAGACTTTGGAGGTAGGATGGAGAGCTCTACATTTATTTGGGTAGTAGTTTTATTGCTTATGTTTATAGAATTCCTGAGCTGAGGAAGGTAACACAAAATAAAAATCCTGCGCCCATGTGTAGAACATGTCATGGGTTTGCATCTGGCACTAGACATTAATTTTTACATTTGAGGAGAATAATGGAGTCCCAGTCATGATAAACAGTGCCTTAAATTAACTCTAGAAAGCAAAATTAAAATTATATGTGTAATACACATACACACCCAAAGAGAAACCAGGAAAAAAGAGCTTATGAAATAACCTGTATTTTGATCCCAACATGGCAGATTTTAAAGTCACAACTAATAATCTAATTCTGAATGGAAAAAAAAATTTCTACCTTCATTTAGCTAAAGAGCAATGCTTATGCTCTTCCCACCCCCTTCTCAATTTCTATTTCATGTATAGACTCAGTGAAGACAAAAAAATAAAATCTAAATAGGCAGGTGAACTCTCCCAACCTATGTCTTATTGGAGTATTGAAAGATTTACTTAACCACTGTACATATATTTCTTTTCAAGTGGGTCCCTTTCAACTATCAAATGAAAACCAAAGTACATATGAAAAACTGTTCTAAAAGGTTAACATTTTTTTCTTTCTGTTGTGGGAAAAACCTTACTTTTAAAGTTTATGGTATAATTTATATATTTATACATATATATTATATATTTGGCATAATTTATAATTGTTATTATTAGCATTTCCTTGAGGGTAGAAGTCTAATTCAGCAGTGCCTTGCAGTTTTATTAAAGCCTACAGAAAATCATATTTCACTCTTTTCCAAATTGCGAATAGTAAACATGAGATGGGAACAACCTACACCTTTATTTCTCCTAATTCTTTTTAGTAGATGTATGATACTTTTCTCCAATGCTCCAAAATACATGAATGTCATTCCACTTGCAGTTTCTAGCTATTTTTTTAAGAGAGTAGCAAAGACTTTTATTTTTCTTCTTCATTAGTCTAAAGAAAATGTACAAGAATTTTAACCATTCAGAACACAGTACCCAAGAATTAATAATAGGTCAACTCTAGGGGAGTAGAAAGGTACCTAAATAGCAACATATAAATAATTTATACTTAAACCCATGTTTTATGCCCTAATTTCAGGGACTTTTATTTCAAAGACAGTAAATGTCACAAGGTTTTTTTCCCTTTACTTCCAGTTAAAGAAATGGAGTAAGAAATTCACTTAAGAGTAGAGGATGAATGAATCCATCCAAAATATAAATCTCTTTTATAAACTGGATATATAAAACTCTAGCAAGTTTTTTTTTTTTTTAAATTCCTGTTCCTAACCACTCAACCAAATACCAAGTAAGTCTTAGTTGGCAAGGCCTTTCCCTACCTCTTCTAATCCCAAAGTAGTAAATCAGCTGGCAGGGGAAACTGGCAGTTAATGTGAATTAAAGCTAACAAACCATAAGGGAAGAAAATAGTAAAAAAATTCCTACAAATCAGGACAGTTTTTGCATGTAAGGTCCACATTTTTGAGTCATATTAGCCATAAGAACAATGAAGTTCTGAAATTCTTCATATGGATACAAGGAATATATGAGCAAGGTTAGGGACATGACTGATTTGCCTTGAAATCAAATACACCAATTAGCCCTGACCAGCTTCCACTACAGTTAAGATTTTTAATAGCATCTCCTGTAAAAATGACCAGTACAAGTAAAAAGAAAATATATGCACAGATACATAAATAAAAGAGAAAAAAAGGGGGGAAAGAATTATTTATTATTAGTAGCAGTCTTTGAAAACTTAGATGAAGATTTAAGACAAAAAAAATCTAGGAAAAGACACAAACCTGGCTAAAAGTTGGTTTATTATGCAACCGAGAACATCTGTCTCCATGACGACAAGCTCCAATTTTGAAATAAAATGAACAGTTGACTCTGTAAGTGAAAACAAGACCTGATTATATTGCTAGGAAAAAATAAAATACATGTAAATATGTAATTAGCACAATGATGACTACACCAGACTATTTTCCATTTAATTCAAGTGTCAGAAATATAACTAGATGAATACTACAGTTTAATTTTTATTACCCAATACCCCTTTCCATAGAATTGCAAGAGTTAATTTAATCTAACCTCTAACTAATAGTAACATCTATAATATTCCCCAAAGTTGGTCATCTGGCTGGTATTTCAAGACATCCAGGGACGAGGATCTGTTCTACCCCTGAAGAGCTCTAGTCAGAATTTTACCCCCCACCCCCACTCCCCTGGTATATTAAGGCTACATCTACTTTTCTGTGAATCATTCCTCCTAGTTCTACCTTTTGGGGTCAAGAAGGACAAATCTAATTTTTCCTCCTCATAACAGCCCTTTGAATACTTGAAAACAATAATATTGTCCTCTCCCTAACTCTTCTTACCTCCAAGTTAAATATCCCCAATTCCTTTAGCACCCCATATGGCATGATTCGGAATAGTCTCAGCATCCCAATTCATCTGACTCTCTTTCAGTTTGTCAAGATTCTTCCTGACCTATGCTGTCTGCAACTGAATATAATTCTCTAGATGTGGTCTGACAAGGGCAGAGTATAGGAGGTCTATCACCTTTCTGGTTACTCTGCCTCCTTCCCAAATAATGGCAATGCAAATCCTTCTTTCTGCAGATACCTCATTAGGCATAAGGACATGAATTCTATTTGTTTCTTTTCCCCATTTTCATTTTCTAATGTTAACTCATTCTCTTTATTGGATTAATTTTCCTATTAGCCCGGCATACTCATCTGATAAGGATCTACAATTTCCTTGGTAAAAAAAATTCCTTCCACTCACAAATATTTCATCTCCACTACAACCTAGTAGAAGGGCCTCAGTTTTTTGAGCCTCAGAAAGATTAAATTACTTTACCCCTGATCACATAGTTACAAAGATTAGCATCAGATATACGATTTGACTATACAATTTGACTAAGTCTTTTTGATTCAAGTCCAGTACTCTATTTACACCACTTTGCCTCTATCTAACGTAAGTAATACTACCTCAAAACATTGGATTTCCTCTGCCCAGCTCTGTTGACCTGACAAAATATTTTCATATTCTTTCACACAAGCTCTGGTCTCACTTCTGAAAACCTGGACTTCCGGGGGGGAACTCATTTTAGTTTTCAGTATCTCTTTGGAAAAATTTAAAGATCAAGACATGCACCTGATACCTTTTCTTTTGTTGGAGAGGTAGGGGATGATATAGACAGAATATGGTTTATACAAAAAAAAGTACACTGTGCACCAATTCCTCACAAACTCTGTATCTTGTCTTGTTTTTCCCAACGAAGAGAAAATATGAAAGTCTCAAAGAAAATATTTTAATGAAATGGGGAAATCTAACACAGGATGCTTACCAACTTCCATTTTCCCTCTTTGCATTCAAACTCTTCCCCTTTTCTAAGATTTTCTATCATTTTCTTGTTTAAATTGTAGTCTGCTTATGAGTGATCATCAAGAAAAAAAACTGTGAAATTTAATTTAGAAACACAAATATATGTAGAAAAAAAGAAAGCTTTTTGTTTCGAGCTAGCCTATACAACTTACATTGTTTTGCAAACCTGGAAGATTCACTCTGCCCAGTTCCCCTAAGTTGCAGTTTAACAATTCAGTTACAAAATATTCAAAGAAAGGCTAAATTCTAATCACAGATAAAGTATAAGTAAAGCATTGAAGCTATTCCTTTGTCAAGGAATATGAGAGAAAGACCTTGTACTTAGTAATGAGCAGAGTAAATTGTTTTTAAAAAGTGTGGGAGGCTAAGGGACTTGATACTCCAAAAATAACAAATATAAAATAAAATAAAATATAAAATAAAGCATATTCTTATTTTGTGCTAGCCACAGAAGGGGGAAAACCCCTTTCTGATCAACAGTGTACACAGCTGAATTTTGGTTAGTTTTTTCAATTAAAAAATTATATTCCCAAAAGTATGTAACAGAAATAATGTAAAAACTGGCATAAAAAGATGCTAGAAATGGCAGGTTCCAGAAATGCAAAATTATAATTTTTCTAGTGTTATACTTATTTTCTAGCTTAAATTTTAAAAAAATTCTGTGAGAGCTCCTCAGTTCTCTCCCAAAAGGCAAGTAAGAAAAACACTCAGAAATACCTGATTTCACAATGCTGTTGAATGGTTTATTTCTGTTAAACACAAGACACAGAGGCAAAAAAGATAATTGGGATTAATGATCTTCCAAAACCGAGCAGATAAGTGTTTTTGGACACAGCAGACAAGACATAATTTCTTCTAACTTTTTCAAGGGTAAACTACAACAAGTACAGAACAATGGCTATCATGGGATACAGACCTACAATTCATGGCATTAAATGAGTATAATTGCCAGGGATCTTTGCTACAAGGATACAATCAATCAACAACCATTTATTAAATAACCTACTTCTGCCTGGTATAGGGGATAAAAAGAAAGAATACCTACTCTCAAAGAGTTACAAAATTCTCTATCCCCAAACAGACTGTATAGAAGTAAAAAAGATTTTAGACATGTTTCTAATTTGTTCCAATCATAGAAAAGGTGACGTTTAAAAAATTAGTCTGTGGAAATCTGAGTCAATAGTAAAAATGAATAGATTTATGCACAAGTTTAGAAGTATTGTATAAAATGGAGCAGTTTTACATGGTTTCAAGCAAGTGACTGCTGGGGTTATTCAAACAGTTTAAAAAGCTCCTAATGTCAAATTTTGGGAAAATTAAGTTTGGCATACAAAGAATGATTTGTTGTCACAGGACCTGGCTTGGAATCCCAACTCTGCCACTTCCTTCCTGTGTGACCTTGGTCAAGTCACTTAATTTCTCCAGACCTCAATCTCCTCATTTATAGGGGGTTAGACAAGATTTCTGGTGTCAAAACCTTCTAGCCCATAAAAAATTCCTGAGTACAACCCCTCCAGATTAAAATGTAATTGGGAAATGTTTAACAAAGAAATAAAAAATAGAACATAATGTTAAATTGTGTTTCTCTAAGGCAATATGCAGCCTGCAAATTTTTTTTTCAGATCACTTTTTATTGGAGTTTGACATCAGTGGACTAGATGGCCTTTATGGTTTTGGCTCTAAGTACACAAAAATCTATAATCCTAAAATTAATCCAATTCACTAAAATCAAGCAGGCCAAGGCAAAAAAAAAAAAAAAAAGCAGCAAACTATTTTATTTAGCTTTTCCCTACACTTATTCTTTTAGAAGTGGCTACAAGACCCTAGGGCACCTTTCTATTTGAAGAGAATAATAAATATCACAGGCAACCCTCCTCCAATTAAGAAGAGCTCCTAATCAGTTTCAACATGTTTTCACGAGTTGTACACATCCATTTCTTGGGTTACTGTCTATAAGGGTTCATACCTAAACACTCTTTTGGCTAATTGTGTTAATATTTTATATTTTGGAAATCTAAATCTATTTTTGAAATCTAACAAAAAGTACCAAAAATTTTGTGGACCAATTTTCCTTCAATTCAACAAACATTTATTAAACACCTAAGTTCTCCTAGTTTCCTTGACCCCCAATACTTTGCATTAACTCATCTCTGAACACAGTAATTCCCTCTAGTTGAACATAAGCTACTCGAGGGCAGAAGCTGTTTAATTTTTCTCGTCTGGCACACAGTAATCGCTTAGTAAACGCTTTAAGTGAACCGAAAGGTCTCTTTTCGGAGGTGACACTTGAACCGAGTCATGAAAAGAGCTACGAGTTCCAAGGGGCCAGATATGAGATAATTCTGGGGGAAGTGGGGAGAGGAAAAGAAGCCTTTGCAAAGGAAGAGGCAAGAAAGATCTGGAGTATGTAGTAACGAGAGGAAGAGTAACGTTTAATAAACCTGATAAGAGCTTTGTATAAAGTATTTAGGGCAAACTGCCCACCCTCTAAAAGCAAACTTCAATTGCGTCCCAGTCTGAAACAGTCCGTCCCCCAGTGGTCGGTGAAGAGCGGACACGAAGACTTATGAAACACTCGCTGTGTCTGGGAGCGAGGGGCCACATAAAGGGCCGGGGAGCCCGCACCCCCAGAACCGGCCCCGCGGGCGCACACGCTCCGCTTCCCTTCCCCCCGAGGCGCCGCGGTCCCTCTTGTCCTCGAGCCCGCCATGTGGGACGGTGAAACTGCAACGACTCCCTGCTGTCCTCTTCTCCGACCCCGAACAGCCCCGCCGGCGCCTCCTACGTCCCTCCGCCCGCTCCGAGCTCCATTCATCCACTTGGAGTAAAGCTCCACGAGAAGGCGGCGCGTGGCTCCCCGAGAAGCGCTGAAGCCCGCCGCGAGCTCGGGCGGGGGGAGGGGGCGAGAGGCGGCCAAGGGCTTTATGAATGAACTGGCTCCACGAGGCCGGGCGCCCGCTCCTTCCCGCCGCCGCCGGCTCCCCTCCCCCCACGCCAGGGTCCGGGCCTACGGCCGCCCCGCTTCCCCGCCGACCCCAAGCGGGGCTCCCACAACGCCGGCGGCCCCTTCCGCCCTTCCGCAACGCCGCCTGCCTCAAGACCCCCCACTACGCCCTCCCGAGAACAAGGACCGGCGGCTCGTACTCACTTGTCTTTTTCTGTGCCGAAAATGGAGGCCAAGTACTCCGCCATTTCCCACCCGCAGCCGCCGCCGCCGTCGCCGCCACCGCCACAGCCGGACGCTGGCGGACACGTCACCCGAACGCGACGGCGTCAGTCACGGCCCGTCCTCTCCACAAGAGGGGCCGGACCCTGCGCCCAATCACGCTCGCGCTCGGCGCGGCGACGCGGCCGGGCGGGGCGGGGGCGGGGGCGGGGGTGGGGGTGCCGCGGCACTGCTCCGCGGAGGAGTCCTTCCCGCCATCTCGCCTCTGCTCCGTCCTCTTTCGCCTGCCGAGTTCCTACTTCGGCCCACCCTTGGTGGGTTCAAAAGAGCAGGCTTCCCCGCGTCCTTTCGTTTTGCTTTTCACCTATTTCCTTGTCTTCCTTGCCACCTATCAGCTTCACCCAGGGTTTTAAAATTTTTACGTGTTTTTAATTGTCTCCCCTTTCGCCTTTCTTGCTTTCAAGTTTTCCCCATGACTGGAACATCCCTTATTAAGCGTGTTTCTGCTGAAACTTGGTGATAATCAAGGGGCGTTTTGAAAACACCACCAAAATAAATGAATAGGCAGCCCCAGATTTCCCTTTCTAGGCAAAAAGTTATGCGTTATTTTAAGTCCGTACCCCCCAGCTTTGACAACCCCAAGTTTTCACCGTTGGGGCTGGGGTGATGGCTGAAACCCCCGGCGTGGACCGACACGTGGCCGAAGAACTGCCCAAGCTGGCTTTATAGATCTGCTTCCTGGTGTTAATTTTTACTTAAATTCTAATGTTAATTTTTACTTAAATTCCAGTGTTAATTTTCACTTAAATTCACCTAATTAACAGCTAGCCAGTATTGCTTTTCTCTCTAATTAGCTTATCAGTTTCTATGCCTCTTCCCTCCTTGCCCCCACCGAAACCAGCCTGGCATCTTTTGGAAAACCTTTGTGACTGTATGTAAAGTAAAACCAGAAGAACACAGATAAGATACAGATTCCCCAGGGTTCACACAGACCGGGTCAGTTTCTGGCTCATTGCCCTCACTGGAGTTCTCTATGGAAATATCTATAATATCATGGCATATATAGTAAATTAAAAGTATATAGAAAATAATGTAGCATATAGTTTAAGTTTCCTTAAATGAGGGTAATGGTGTCTCCAACTACTGAATGGACAGCTAAATGTACACTATGTAATATTAGGTGTGGGGGTAGTCTGTATTTCACCCATGATGGAAAATGCTTGTAAAAGACTCACCTAAAACATTCCCTGAGAAAAGATTAAAAACACGTTGGGATTTCTTTTAGGAGGTGACCAGTGGATTCTTTAAATTTCTCCTTTACCCTCTGGTTCTAAGGTATCTGGGCAGTTTTCTTTTATGAGTTTTTGAAATGTGCTGTCTAGGCTCATTTTGTTGCTGTTCATAGCTTTCAGATAGTTCAATGATTATTAAATTATCTCTTTTTCATCTGTGTTTCAGGTTGGTTGTTTTTCCTATGAGATATTTCATATTTTATTCTATTTTTTTCAGTTCTTTTGATGAAGTCTAGAGGTTTAGGGGTTCTGGAACCCCAAAATTACAACATGCGGGTCCTGCCCGAAAGAATTAGACCCAAGCCTTCTTTCAGCCAAAGACAAGGTTTATTAAAGATCCGCCATGTTGGCTAGACTCTTAAGGAATCTCAACATCTGTGAGCTATTGGCTGGATTGTAAAAATATGAGCAGTGTCTAGATTATAAGAATCTGAGCATGGTAATGGAGACAAGATGGACCTTATATACAGAAAGACTATGGGAGGGAAGACAATGGAGGGCTAGGTTAGGTTAAGGGTAACAGAATTGGGAGATTGGACATAACCACAAGGAAAGACAAGTTGATAGGACTATAGCCTCAGGTGAAAACCAGAGATTTGTCCACGTGGGAAAGTCCAGGGTTTTTCCTTTCTGGGGTCCAGATCCCAATCCCATCACTTTGACTTTTTATTTCTTAATGTATCATGGCATCATTAACTTTCATTTGGTCAATTCTGATTTTCAAGGAGTTATGTCTGGCCTAGACTTTTGGCCTTTTATGCTTTTACAACTCAGGCTGGGAGCTTGCATCCTTTTAGTGCTGCCACAGTGGTGTGATTCCCGGCGAGGTTTGTTCATTCTCCTCCTGCTCTGAGCTCTGCAAGTTTCTGACCCAACTTGGGTTGGTCAGCTTGTTCTCCATTGGAGGTTTTAGAAGATTGCTAATGGACTTATCCTCTGTTGGCCCGATGAGAGTCTCTGCAGGTTCAGAATAACCGAACTGATGGATCTCCTTTGTTCTGGGACTCCTGCCCTGATTATTCCACTGTGGGTTATACTGGACCAAAGGTTAGAACCGAGACACCACTCTGCTCCTGGTGTCAGAGCCACACAACTACTATATGCTTCCAGAACTTGTTCCTTGCTCAGTACCACAGCTAGGGCCAAAGCTGAAGACCTCCTCTCTTGGTCCTGGATATGTGACCCAGAACTGGGTAGTATGGGTGACCAAGATGCCAGATGGCACTTATTCCTGTTCCCAGGGCTTATTTAGGGATCCCTTGGGATCTGCCCTAGGTCTTCCTACCCTTATGTCCTGTCTCAGCGCTCTTTCAATCCCTACATGCCAAAGTGTTTCCTGGGTACTGCATGCTCCTGGCTAGCATTTTCCTGGCTATCCTCATCCTCATTATCCTCAGACCTTTTTGTTGATCTCCCTAAGTCACTGTAAGCTGGAAATATGATTCTCTATGTCTTTTTCTTGGCTTTCTTTATCAGAATTCAGTCTGGTGCATTTTCTATACTTCTGAACAACATTACTCCCACCCCTCTCAATTGAGAACCTTGCCTTATATTTTACTGAAGAAAAAAAAAATCATTCCATGAAAGATCCCTCTTATCCCCCCTTCATCTCACATCAACCAGATGCCTTTTGCCACTATGTTCACCTTCACTCTTGTCTCACATTACCACTTCTAGGTCTGTATCCTAAAGAGATCATAAAAATGGGGAAAGGACCCACATGTACAAAAATATTTATAGCAGCTCTTTTTATGTTGTCAAAAAATTGGAAATTGAGGGGATGTCCATCAATTGGGGAATGGTTGAACAAGCTGTGGCATATGAATGTAATGGAATACTATTGTGCTGTAAGAAATGAGCATGTGGATTTCAGAAAAACCTGGAAAGACTTATATGAACTAATGCTGAGTGAAGTGAGCAGAACAAGGAGAACATTGTACAGAGTAACAGCCACACTGTGTGATGACTGACTTTGATAGACTTAGCTCTTCTCTGCAATGCAAGGATCCAAGACAACTCCAAAAGATTCATGATGGAAAAAGCTATTCACATCCAGAGAAAGAACTATGGAATCTGAATGCAGATAGAAGCATACTATTTGCTCTCCTTTTCTTTTGTTGTTTTGTTTTTCTTCTTCTTCCTTGTGGTCCCTCCCATTGGTTCTAATTCTTCTTTATATCATGACTAATGTGAAAATATACTTAATATAAAAAAAGAAGAGGTGACTCTTTTCCTTACCAAGGCAAACCTGTCTCTACATGCATCCTTGATCCCATTCTGTCTCTTCTCCGGCAGATTGCCTCTTCCATCCTCCCTACTCTCTCATTTATTTTCAATCTCTTCTTGCTAACTGTATGCTTCACTACTGCCTACGAAAATGCCCATGTTGGGGCAGCTAGGTAGCGCAATGGATAGAGCACCAGACCTCAAGTCAGGAGGACCTGAGTTCAAATCCGGCCTCAGACCAAACACTTGACACTTACTAGCTGTGTGACCCTGGGCAAGTCACTTAACCCCAATTGCCTGAAAAAAAAATGCCCATATCTCTTCCATCCTCAAAGAACCCTTACTTGATCCATCCATCCCTGCTAGCTAGCATCCTATATCTCTCCTGCCTTTTGTGGCTAAACTTTTTGAGAAGGAGCTATGTACAATTGGTGCCTCTTCTTCTTTTTCTCTCCCTCTCTTCTTAATTGTCTACCTTCTGACTTCTAACCTTATGATTCAACTAAAACCACTTTCTCTAAAGTTACCAATAATTTCTTTGTAGGAAGGAATGGGAGACATCCCCACATATAGAAAGAGGCCTACTTGTGGCAAAGAGAGGCTGTTGTATGACTCAAAAGGAGGCAGAATAGATATTTCTAGCCTCTTCTCTCCCTATCTTTCTCCAGAAACTTTCATTCCTGCCTGGAGGGGAAGCAGGAGGTTGGGGCAGGAGGCCTTTCTGCTCTCCTCAGAAAGAGGGGGTGCCTACTGAGTCTAGTAAATCTATCTACTATATGCCTACTATATCTGTCTGCTCCCTTAAATATTATTAGTCTAGAGGGTATGAACAGGTTCATCCTAATTTCTGATTGCTTTGTCACTTGGGTGGGGGGAGGAGGGCCCCAAGTTCTATATCTGAGTCTTGACCCCTTTCCCACCAAATACCAGTTCCACAATGAATAGAATAGAGAATGGCTAAGAAAATCCATTTATCCAAATTGGTAGCAAAACAGAAATCAGAGAAGGTATACATAGAAGAATATATACCAGCCAATCCAGTGTGAAGAAGCTCTCTCCTTAGGAGCTAGGTAACTCAGTTCAAATAGGAGAAATTGTCCTTGATCTCACCAATCCACATTCAACAAACTCCAGTGGCTCTCTATTACCTCTAAGATCAAATATAAAATCCTCTGAAAGTGAAAACCCTTCATGACCAAGACACTCCAACTCTAGACTCTAAGCATTTTCACTGGCTGTTCCCTATGCTTAGAATACTCTCCCTCCTTTTTTCTGCCTCCTGCCTTTCCTGGTTCTTCTCAACTAAACTTCTACCTTCTATAGGAGGTCTTTCCCAATTCCCTTTTAGGGTAGTGTCTTTTATTTGTTGGTTATCTCCAATGTATCCTATAAAGAGCTTATTGGTATATAGTTGTCTTCATGTTCCCATTAGATTGTGAACTCTTTGACATCAGGGACTGCCTTTTTGCCTTTTGTCTTTCTTTGTACCCTTAGCACTTCTTGGCACATGCTTGGTACTGTGACTGACTATAATGTTTTTTGGGAATTTTCATTTT